AAAAAAGAGAGAGAGAGAGAGAGAAGAAAGAAAAAAGAAAGCTTTTTATTTTGGAATAGTTTTAGGCTCTCAAGAAGTTGCCCCAACCAGGCATAGTGACTCATGCCTGTGATCCCAGTGACTCAGCAAGCTGAGACAGGAGGATCCCAAGGCCAAGGCCATCATCCTCAGAAACTTAGCGAGGCTCTAAGCAACTTAGTGAGACCCCATCTCAAAATTTTAAAAACTTAAATAGAAAGAGCTGGGGCTGTACCTCAGTGTGTAAGCACCGCTGGGTTAATTCCCAGGTACTGCTCCCCCCACCCTGCAAAAGAGTTGTTGCCCTAGTGATAGAGTCCCTGTGTCCCCTTCCCTGCTGGCTCCTGATAACACCCCACCTGTGAGCCATTTTTCTCATCTTTTCAAGGTCTTTTCCCAGCACAGGAAGGTTTAGCTGCTGCTTCTGAGCCTGGGAAGGATGCACAGTCCTGTGATAACAATGCGTACACAGTGCTTCCCCAGTGCTGGCAGGAGCGCTGGCTCAGTGCTCCCAGACACCGCACAGCCCCTGGAGGTTCCGAAGAAACTCCCACTCACCCCTTTTACAGAGGAAGGAACTGGGCCCACGGGGTGGCAAGATTCATGCCCAGGCTCTTAGCCAGCATGTTATGCCGCTTCCTTGGTCATTTGCGGCCAGGTGGACACTACGGGGCTAGTTTCCATGGGAGGGTAGGTGAGTAAGGCTCTGCCCGCTCTTGGGGCAACCATCGGGCAGCAGGGAGGTTGAGATGCTGATGAATTCCCTTCTTTCCTGTAAGTAGGCTACTCAGTCCTGGCTCAAGCAGGGCGCTTGTGAGTGTAGAGGCAGAGGTCTGGTGGCTCTCACACCAGCTGACAGGAGTGTGGAAGAGCATGATGGCAGACGGCCTATCTGGGCTGGGCAGTGTCCTGGGTGTTCAGAGCCAGCTGACAGGTCTGTGCACCTTTCAGAGGCATTTTCCCACACTCCACCCTTGGCGATGGTCCTGCAGGGTTGGTGCTCTTGTCGAAAGGCTTGGTTCCAAATCAAATCAGTGTGTCCCAAATACTGTTACCACCTGCCTGCTCTTTAAAGGTCCACATGCTTCTGTGCTTGCAGCAGGGAAGCATGGCTGGAGAGAGGAGATCATGTCTCTCAGGCCTTGCCTCTGGCACTTCAAAAGCCCAGGGCACTGGAGTCCCCATGACCTTGGTAACTTGACCTCCCACATTGCATTGTGTAGATTCCAGCCAATGAAGTAAGGACAGAGTCCAATTCCCAGAGTTAACCCACCGCTGCCTTTACACAATGCTTCCGTAGTGCCTGAGCCCCGTCCTAAACTTACAGGTGAAGAAATGGCTTTAGAGAGGTGACAGTTCCTTACAGGCTCTCCACTCGGTATTTGGCATGGCCACAATGGGGTCCCATTTCTTGGGGAGGCCCCAGAGTACACATGCCCTTTGGTGGCCTGTGGACTTGGCTTCCCTCTTGATACTCTGCCACTAGCCAGCTCTGGAGTCTTCTATAGGTTCTCAGTTTCTTCAACTTTAATGGCCGTGGTCATATCCTTGCCTCAACAGGCCCTTGTGAAGTGGAGAACATGATTCTTAGGAAGCGTACTGGCAGGGAGATGCCTCAGAACTGGGGGCTGTTAGTCCGCACCCAGGTTTCCATCTATTAGGAATGAATGTGGCTTCAGTTAGTGGAATAGGAAAGCAGTGTTGATGTAAACGAATGGTGGTTATCATTCTCATAGTAAGAAATAAAGAGCAGGCAGTTGTGGGCTGGACAGGAGCTAAATGCACCATGCTCCTCTCTTTCATCCCCTTCTATCCTCCACAGCATGCTGGTTTGCCTCTTCGTGGTCTCAAAATGGCGGCTAAGTTCCATCCCTCATGTCTGGGGAGAAGAAGAGCAGTAGTAATCACCTTTTCCTCTTTTATAAGATGAAGAACAACTTTTCCAGACCCCACCTCCAGCCACTGCAGATAACAGCTTTTGTTTCTGGCTTGGGCTATGTCTTCTGGCTCCCAAGGGGCACTCAGAAAATGGGCGTTTAGCTTTTCAGAATCATTTGTACTGGTGGTATGGAAGAAGGCAGAAGAGTGGAGTAGATTCTGAGACATTTAGAATTGCCACAGTCCTTCCTACCTCTCACGTTATCATTTTTAAAAATATTTCATCAGCTGGGCGTGGTGGTGTACACCTGTCATCTCAGCTACTTGGGAGGCTAAGGCAGGAGCATCAAAGTTTGAGGCCAGCCTAGGCAACTTAGAAAGACTTGTCTCAAAAAAGAGAATGCACTGGGGACATAGCTTAGTAGTGAAGCACCCGGCCACAGGTGGGAGGGTCCCTGTCCTCGGTGTGCAGAGTCCTGTGTTTCAGACACAGCAGCGAAGCCTTTTCCAGGCTGATTTCCCTCTAGTCTCACAGAATATGCCACTTTAGGTGTATCTACTTTTTCTTAACTTTTTAATTGAAATTCAACATACATACACCAAGGTGCAGAAAGCTTTCCTAGGTAGTTGAAAGGATCTGTACTATTTATGTGCATAAAGCCGACTGAAGAGTAAGTAGTCTGCAGAGCAGCCCAGCAGCCCAGGAACCCCCTCTCCCTGCCAGTCCTCCTGCCCAAAGGCAGCCACTGTGCCCGTCTGTGTCACCATAGGTCAGTCTTGCCCATTCTTGAACTTCATCAAAATGGATCGTACATTTTTGCGTGCTCTTTGTGGGTCTGACTTTGGTCACTTGTCTGTGAGGTTCATGTATGTTATTGAGTGGGGTCGTGGGTCATGGGTCTCCTGCATTCTCCATGCTGACTCTGCATGGACCTAGGGTAAGTCGTGTCCTGAGAACCCAGGGAGAGTTTCCTGTTTCCAGCGTGGATTTTCTTCTCACAAACCACCCTTTGGTCTCACAGAGCGTGCCTGTGCACTGCTCGCTCAGCTCCCAGTCTACTTTAAAAGGAGACTCTGGGGCACTTTTGCCTTGGTGCTGTCGGCATAAAAGAATTTCCTTGAGCACATCTTCATTTGGAGAGGGTGGGGAGAGAGGGTGGGAGAGGAAGGCAGGCATTGGGGAAGGACATTTTTAGGCAAAGGAAAAACAGCCACTCAGGCGTCCTGGGGAACTGGAGCCTGGAGCCTGGAGCCTGCCTAGAGCCTGCCTGGAGCAGAGCGGTCTGGTCTTGATCCCTCCCCTCCAGCAGCCTCCGTTCAGAGCTGCAGGGCAGCCCCGCCTCTCTTGGAGCTGGGCAACCTGGTTCGAATTCAGGTTGACTCTTATTTTTTTTCAGTACTGGAGATGGAACTCAGAAGTGCTCTACCACAGAGCCACATCCCCAACCCTTTTTATTTTTCATTTGAGACAAGGTCTTGCTAAGTTGCCCAGGCTGGCCTTGAACTGGCCTTGAGGCTATTCTTGCTTCAGCCTCTGGGAGGAGCTGGGCTGTGCATGTAGTCTTTGTGGTCTGACTTCTGTTACTTAGCTGACAGTGGCATGTGCCACCATGCCTGGCTCCAGGTTGACTCTCGAGAAGCCACCCTTCCCTGATTGTAGGTGATGAGCTCCCGTGAGAGCTGGGGTGGCTTTCTTCATGACACTGCTCCACCGCAGGGCGCACCTGGTGTGGGGAAGAGCTGCTGTGTGTTGGCCGTCTCAGGTGCGGTACAGGCACTCGCTGTCCCTACAGGTGTGCTGCAGATGCGCAGACTGCAGCTCTGTGGTGACTCGAGGGACCCATCCTCTTCGTCTTCCTTTTGTCATCGGCTGGTTTTGAGCCATGTGTCTTCCAGGATAATTTTCTGGAACATTCAGCTAAGACTCAATCAGAGAATCTTTGTGCTAAAGCAGAAACAATATTTTATTGAGTAATCCCTGGCCCTTGCTAGAGACTTTGTAATATATTATTTCCACAGAACCTGGGAAGGAAGGTAGGATCATTTCATTTTACTGGTGAGTAAACAGGGGTTAGAGAATTTGAATAACCTGCTAGCAACTAACCGGTTGTAAGAAGGAGGCTGATTTTAAAAGTGGGACTTTTATATTCCAAAGGCCTTGTATCTTGTACCAAGTAAGCCTGCCTTTTTAAAATAACCTCCCATCTTTCTGATGTGCCAGTCCTCTTCATCTCTTCCTGACCCCAGCCTCAAAACACCCCTCAGTATTTATCCAGTCGGTGACTGGGCTCAGAACAGCTGAGAGCTGCATGTGCCTTGTCACTAACTTGGAGTTTAGCTGGCTGCTGAAGCTTAACTCTAACACGGTGCACAAGTATTTATTAGATGTCCCAAAGGGCCTGTCATATTTCATTAAAGGAATTTTAAAAAAATATTTAAAACTAAGAGCACAGTGGTAAAGAGCCTGTTGGGTAATAAGTGATGCTGACCCCAGGCCTTGGCAAATCCAAACAAACCTGAGACTTCTGTTTGCCTCAGTTTCCTTCCTTGGCGAAATGAGGGGTTTAAGTGTGTGATTACTAATGTTTCCATCACTTCAAAAGCCAGGAACTTCTTTGACCTTTAAAAAGTTCTAAAATGGGTTCAGAATACAAATATTTCTTAAAGGAGCCTTAATTATTAAATACAGACCTAGAGAAGTGGATAAACATTGAGACTTTCAAAAACAAATTTTAAAAATATATTTGAATATATATTTAAAATATATTTTAATTACCCAGTTCATCATTCCCACCAAGAAAGGGCATCTTCAATAATTCATATTGAAGCTTGGATTCTTTAAGGGTCTGGCACATTTTATCTTGGATAGGATGACATAAAATACTGCCAATAGCCAACCTCAAGTTGCCAACCTTAAATATAAGTCCCACCTTGTTCACTATTCAAATTTATAATATAAATTCTTTTAAATTATACCTGGTACTGAATTGAATTGGAATTAAAACTCTTTTGAGCAACTCTGGAGATAGGAATAGGATGATTTTATTGTTTAATTAGTTACAGATGTGTTATACTTAAAGAAATTGTTACTGTTTTCATTTTAGACCCAGTAAAGAGAAAACTGGCCAGGTGAGCGACTCGGGAGCATCTGTGGTCAAACATGGACTCAACCCTGAGAAGATCTTCATGCAGGTTCATTATCTAAAGGTGAGTGCAGCTAGTGGCTCAAGCCAGTTATTCTGGGGCAGCTTTATTTAGGTTATACAGTTGAATAATGATGATTAGTAACATGGTTGAGCAAAAGCAGAAAAATTATGAATGTTGTAATGCCGTCTGGTTGGGTAGCTTCCGAATGTCCTCTAATTAAAGCACTTACTACCGCTGAACAAGGGGGCATGAATCAAAGGAAGCTGGGAGAGTCCCTGCCCCAGACCTCTTCTCCCTGGCTTCCAGTTAGCCTTGAAGAATAGAACCTTCCAGTTGCTCTCAGATTCCAACCAGAGGAGGAGCAGTAAGGAAAACTTCCAAGTTGGAAAGACCATGCTGGGAGCTGAGGTGGGGAGGAGCTGGACCTCTGCCCTTGCAGGTCACGAGGGACTCTCAGGTGCCACCTGAACCAAATCAGAACAGACAGTGAAACGATGAGGAAGGAGTTGAGGACTCAGCAGTGCATCCTCCTGGTCAGAATATAAAGGGCGGCCTGGGACAGTAAGTGGCACCTGCTAGGTGCACATGGGCTCCGGGGCTAAGTGACAGTGGCCGTTTTGTGAAGGGCCCATCACGGACATCTTGTTTTCTCTCTTCTTTCTTTCTTGTAGGGCTACTTTCTTCTTCGGTTCCTTGCCAAAAGACTTGGAAATGAAACCTATTTTTCATTTTTAAGAAAATTTGTACACACGTTTCATGGACAGTTGATTCTCTCCCAGGTAATTGACGGGTTCTTGGGAGCTCATGATATGCAACTGAAGGGGATGCGGCATGTGGAGATTGGATTATGCCAGCATTCAAAGAGGAAAAGGATTGACTATTTCATTCAGGGTGGAAATTATGAACAAAGTGGACACAAGGAAGGTGTTCTCGGGGAGGGTGAGCTCCTTGCAACTGGGGGACAGACCCACCCGAAGCCGTCTGAGCACAGTGATGCAAATGACTGTACCCTGAGTGATCTTAACAACAAAACAAGCATTCCTTCTTCCTGGAGTCGTCTTTGCGGGGTTCATTATCTAAATCTTACCCTTCAGTCTGCACTTGATGCCAGGACTTCAGAGCCACCCTAGCTGAGCAGATGTGCATCAGCCCGCTTCTCTTTTGTTGCCCTTAATGTCATTCCCATTATCTGTATTGTATTTTCATGATAGCACTGTCTCTTGTCGGTTCCTTCTCTTTATGTATGAGCTAATGTAGGCCAACATGTATTTAGTACAGTCTGGCACACAATAGGTATGCTGTAAATCTTTAATAAACAGATTAAAAGGAAGACACCCTGAAACATCAGACAGCCTGGCCCCAAGACAGTTGGAAAGAGACCCTGTCCACTACCGTGGGTGTGGGGTGAGCGGTACCTGGCAAGGAAGCTAACAGTGAGAGCTCTGAAAACAGTGCTCATGTTGGCAGGGGTTGGACAGAGGGTGTCTTAGATCATTGTGTTCAGACACGGCTGTGTGTCGCATCATCCGCAACATGAGAAGGAAAGGGTGTGTGACTATAACCTGACACACCGAGGAGAGCAAGACTGATATCCAAGCCCTGTGCTCTTTTAATCTTTTTGGTGTCTTGAGGAGGCGATTCTCCCGTAGTTAGGATGGCAGTTCAAAGCAGATTTAGACTCCTCGCGTGCTTGGTTGGCTCTGATGGGTCCAGGTCCTGCCGCTTCAGCCATTTCTCACCAAGATGCTCCCACCGTGTGTGGGACTTCCTGTGACCACTGAGGTTCTGGCTTCATTTCCCATGAACTCCTGCTGCTCTATCAACCAGCTCATTCAGTTTTTCTTTTATCTCTTTTGAATAACTTTGTTTTTCCATAACAACTTTATTGAGATGAAATTCACATGCCATAAAATTTGCCCTTTAGAAATGTGCAAGCTTGTGATTGTGCAGCCCTCAGCATGATCTAATTTTAGAACATTTTCATCAACCCCGAAAGAAATCATCAGCACTCGCTTCCCCGTCCACCCTTCCTGCCAACACTATCTGCTCTGTCTCTGGGGATTGGTCTCTTCTGGACATTTCATAGAAATGAACCACGTGGTCTTGGGTGTCTGACTTTAGTTCATGCGGCATGTTTTCAGGGGTTGTGTAGCATGTACCAGGACATCACTCCTGTTTCGTTTTGTTTGTTTTCTTTTTTTGAGATGGGGCCTTACTCTGTTGTTCAGGCTGGTCTTGAACTCCTGGAATCAAGTGATCCCTCCTGCCTCTGCCTTCCAAGAAGTTGCCTAGTTTTAATTGTGTTAATTGTGGTAACGTACATAAAACTTATCATTTTAGCCATTTTAAGTGAATGATTCAGTGGAATTAAGTGCATTCACTTTTTTTTCCCCAGTGATCACCATCATCCCTCTCCATCTTCATCTTCCCAAACTGAAGCTCTGAACCCATTGAACAGTGCCTCCCTGCTCTTCCCAGCCCCAGGCTCTGGCAACCACCATTCTTTTTTCTGTTTCTATGAATTTGATTACTGTAGGTGCTTCATGTAAGAAGAACTGACCATCAGGTGTCCTTGGTGTCTGGCTTACTCACCTAGCGTCATGTCTTCAGGGCCACCTACATTGTGGCAGGCAGAACTTCCTCTCAGTTCTTTGGAGCATATACACAGAAGTGGGATTGGTGGACCACGTGGTAGTTCTATGTTTGGGTTTTTGAGGAGCTGCTAGATTATTTCCACAGAGACTAGGGCGTTTTACATTCCACCTGCTGAGGGTTCTGGTTTCTCCACGCTTGTCAATGCTGGTTGCCTTCCGTCTTTTGATAATGGGTCTGAAATTATATCTTCCCTATGGGTCTGAAATTATCTCCCGATAGCTTTGATCTGCGTTTCTCTCATGGCTTAATGATGTCGAGCGTTCTTTATGTGTTTATTGACCACTCATGTATCTATTTTGGAAAAAATGTCGGTTCATATCCTTTGACCATTCCTTATTTGGGTTGCCTTTTATTATTGAGTTATAAGAATAGTTCATATGTTCTGAACAGAAGTCCCTTATCAGATATGATTTGCAAACGTTTTCTGTTTTTTAAAAATATTTATATTTTTAGTTTTAGGTAGACACAATATCTTTATTTTATTTTTATATGGTACTAAGGATTGAACCCAGAGCCTCATGTATGTCCCGTGAACACTCTATCACTGAGCCACAACCCCAGCCCCAGTATTTTCTGTTTTTATGCATTGTATTTTTGCTTTCTTGATAGTGTTCTTTACAGCAAAGAGTTTTTAATTTTGATAAGTCAAATTTTCTATTTTCTATTTGATTTCTTGGGTTTTGGGTGTGTTGTATCTAAGAAACTACTGTTTGATTGAAGTTTTGAAGATCTACTTCTGTTTTCTTCTAAGTTTCATGGTTTTAGCTCTTATGTTTAGGGCTCTGATTTTTGTATAAGTTGTGAAGATGATGTCCAACTTCATTGTTTTGCATGTATCTAGTTGTCCCCTACCATTTCATGAAAAGGCCATCCTTTTCCTCCATTGAATTATCTTAGAACCTTTGCAAAAACCATTTGACCGTTAATGTAAGGGTTTGTTTCTGTACTCTAATTCAATTCCACTTATCACTATTTCTGTCTTCATGCCAGTACCACCAGTGCCTTAATTACCGTATCTTTGTATTAAATTTGGAAACACTGCTTTTACAACATACTCACTATAGAAATTCAAGCAATACAGAAAGGTACAAAGGAGATCAGTCATCATTCAAATTCCCACCACCCAGAAATGCCTACAATTGATATTGCGTTACTACCATTTTAGAAGCCACACTGTTTCTCTCTATATGTGCTCTATGTGAGGTATGTATACACCTCGAAGATTGTGTGTGTGTGTGTGTGTGTGTGTGTGTATATATATATATATATATATATATATATATATATTATATGTTTATGTACACATGGATAGGAATTGTTCAAAATAATTTTATAACAGTAGGAATATATATGTATATGTATGCATATGTATGGATATTTCCCCACCCAGTACTGGGGATAAACCCAGGGCCTCACCCACACTAGGCAAGCATTCTACCACTGTGTTACATCCCTAGCCCCTGTATATATTTTTTAATGAACTGTTTCAAATTTCTTTCTCTAAAACTTGGTAAATGAAAAAGAAACTAAAGGGAAGGTAAAGAACTTTCTAAACTTCAGATTAATGTAAGAGAGATCATTTCCTCAAAGATTCGTCTATGGTTAAGAAATATTACTACAGAAAAAATTTGTTAAAAGGTTGAAATTGTTATTTTCCCCTTACGTATTTCATCTTATGGAGCATCAGCTTATTCACTACTATGAAAGTTAAGGAAATCAGCAGTTATAAACTTCCACTACTTCTCCTAGTTCTAAATTTTTCTTAATTATTATTATAGAGTGAGGTTTATAGTTCATTCACAGTATACACTGTAACCATGCTTTTCACAGTTGTGTAGCTTTTGGTTTATTTGGTTATGAGAGAGTATCTTACTAAGATGGTCAGGCTAGCCTAGGACTTGTGATCCTCCTGCCTCAGCCTCCCAAGTTGCGGGGAATACAGGCAGGCACCACTGTGCACAGCCAATTATATAGTTTCAGCTCTGTGAATAAAGGATTTCAGTGTTTGTCACCAGTCATTTTACTGTGCTTCTATATTCATGAATATTTTATTTTGATTCAACTCTTTGTTGGCCAAATTTCAATAATAACTTGGTGTTCAAATTGCCATCTCCCAGGCTGTGTGACTTCTGAGTTCTTCCTGCTTGAGGATGCTTGTGTGTTGGCTATATTTGAATTACAAACTGGTTTCATATTCTGGGACACATTTCCATTCTGCAGAACTTCAGACATTGCTCCACTGCCTTCTGGTATTAATGCTGTAGAAACCATTGAAATTAACCTACTTTTCTCCTTTTAGACCACTTAGATGGCAGAAGAACTCATTATCTTTGAAGTTTAGTAATTTATTGAGAAAATAGGTTGGTGCCCATGGTTTTGGGTTGTTCCCCTTCCCTCCACCCACCAAAAACAGCTACATTTTTAAACCATAGTTCTATCCTTTATTGAAATTGTCTTAGTTTTATCTCTGAATGTGATTGTCCGCCTACAGGTTCTGAATTTCAGACTTGCCAGTTATCCCTGTGTCGTGTCTTCTTTGTCCTCCATGCCTATTATTTATGAATTGCTTCTTATCTTTCTCTTCTTGACAGCCTGGGCTCCTATCAAGCTGCCCCTTTTATTATTAGCACTGTCTTCTCGAGTGCTGTTCTTTTCATCGCCATTCCTACTTCATTAATGTCTCATACTGATGGGATTTGGGTCCTTAATTTGTTTCCTTTGTTTTGGAACCTCTCTTTTCTTCACCCTTTGTTGTTTTGTCATCTTTCTGCTTTCATTTTACTGAGCTTATTTTGTGTTTTTGTTAATATATTTTATAGTGTTAAGCATTCGTGGAACATTTTCTTCTTTTCCTTGGGCCATGTTTTCGTGAAGCCTGGATTCTTGGTCTCTTAGGTGTGTTGCTTCTGTCTGTCTCTTTGGTGGATTGTCATGTTAGTTCACACAGTTGCAGGACCTTTCCTGTGAATTCTCATATATAGGGAACATGAATCTTGCCTCCTTTCCCCATTCTTCTTGGGCTTGCTTTTCTTCCCCTCTGAGCTGCAGTTTGAGCGTCAGCCTCTGTGCGTGGAGGAGGGCGGAGGCGGACTCTGCTGTGGCCCTAGCCAGCCTTTGTTGGAGAACTGGCCCTGTGTCTCCTGCAGATGTATTAAGTGTCCCCTTGCCAAGAGTCTCGTGACCTGATAGGGCATAGCCTTTCCCACCGCAGGCTTCTCTGGGTGATGCTTGTTCCTCGGCTCCATTGGAGCTTCGAGCTCCGCTGCTCATCAGAGTCCTCCACAGAGGCTGGCTTCCCACGTTTTGCTCCTCTCTCCAGCATGCATTTCCAGTCCCTCCACAGTCAAAAGGGAGGAAAGGTGAAGTTATTCCTGCTTCTTTCCAAATGTGGTATTAACGCTGGTGAAGTCTGCCAGGTGTGGTCAGCTCAGCGCTGCGCAGCACAGTGGGAGGCTGCAGGAGGGGCAGAGGGAGAGTGGGCGGTGGGGCCAGAGCCCTAGCTCCTGCCTTCCTGGCATTTGGAGCCCATGCCGGGAGCTTGTACTATTTTCTTTGTTGGGATGCTGCTGATCCTCTATTTGCTATTTTCAGAAGTTTCCTTTTTTTCTCTCTCTGTGTGTGTGTGTGTGTGTGTGTGTGTGTGTGTATTAGACAGGGTCTTGCTACTTGCCCCTGGCAGGTCTCAAACTCCTGAACTCACATAATCCTCCTGCCTCAGCATTCAGAGTGCTAGGACTACAGGTGCATGCCACCACACCACGCTTTTTTTTTCTTTTTAGTTATACATGACAGTAGATTATATTTTGACGTATCAAACATACACGGAGTACAACTTGTCATTCTTATGGTCATACGTGATGTGGAGTTACACTGGTCGTGTATTCATATATGAACATAGGAAAGTGATGTCCCATTCATTCAACTGTCTTTCCCATTCCCGTTCCCCATCCCTTTCCCCCATTCCCCCCACATTCAATCCATTGAACCCACACACCACCACCCCCATGCCAGTTATGAGTCAGCAGCATCCTCATATCAGAGAGAATTTTTGGCCTTTGTTTTGTTTGGGACTGGCTTATTTTACTTAGCATGATAATATCTAGTTCTATCCATTTACCAGCAAATATCATAATTTCATTCTTCTTTATGGCTGAGTAATATTCCATTGTGTATATATATACCACATTTTCTTTATCCACTCATCTGTTGAAGGGCACTTAGCTGCTATTGTGAATTGAGCTACTGTGAATATGGATGCGGCTGCATCACTATAGAAGCCAAGCTTTTCAAATACATATTTTTAATGGATTGCATCTTAACTTACATTGCTTGTTAATTATTGATAAGGAAGAATTGTGATCCAGTTTCCTTATGCAGAAGCCCCTCAGTTTCTTCCTCTTTTGCCTTACTTCTTCCTTTCCCTTCTATGCCCCGCACCTGCCAGCATTTCAGTTTGACCACCCTTCTAGCTGCCACTGAATCCCTTGTAAGCATGACAGTGACTGATTCTTCTCAATCTTGTTTCTTCTCTGACTCTGCCAATCCTGTCCTTGCTTCAGCATTTTGATTATTTGCTTTGCCTCTCTTGCCCACCCATGACCATAGTAATCATTCATAAAACATTGATAGGGGTTATTAATCCTGTGTACTTGTCAAGCCAGTGTCAGTTTTTCCAGTAGAATCTATATGCGCCTGCTTTTTATTGAATACTTTCACCAGAACTAAAAAATAATTACCAAATTAGCCATGTGCCAAAATCAGTGTTAGTTTTCTAAAAATTATAATGCTTAATTTAGTATTGTTAGGTGTTAATCAAAACAAGCTGTCTGGGACTGATCTAATTAGCATATAGATTATAGGGAGAGCAGGGCTTGAAAACCAAAATCTCAAGGAATGTGTTATTTCTAACTGTGGCCTGGGCTTGGAACCATTGCCAGGGACTCAGATTCAATTTCAACCCATGTCCCTCTCCAGTGACAGAGGTGTTTATTCTCAGGCGTGCTGCAGAGGTGACCCTCTGGGACCCCCCTATTTGTTGCTAACTGACTTGCCTTGGTGGTGCTAGAATGAGCCGGGAGGGACAGCCCTCCTTGTCCAATTAGATCTCGAAGTTGCTTTCAGAAAACTGCCAGCCGCTGAAGGAAAGAGTGGGGAGAGATGAAAGAACTGAAGAGAAGCAGCAAGGGGAAATCAATCTTAAGAGGCATAATTCTGTTTATTTCCTGGTGTTTTGGTGAAAGAAGAGTCTACTCCAGGGTGTACGCAGTTTTACAAGAGGAAGCAGAAAAACCAGTGTTTTGTGTTTAAATTTTGGGTCTTGGAAGGAGTAAGAAGGGCTGGCTGGGCCGATTCTGTGGACAGATGCACAGGACTGCCTACCTGAGAAACGAGAGCCTTGTAGAGCCATGGGCCTGCCTGCAGGATGGAGGACCATCCAGCTCTGCAGCCAGGACGTTCCCACAGATGCCAGGGGGTGGGTGTGTGACCCCGGCAGTCACTGGCAGCCTCCGGCCAGCTGCTGTGTTACCTGCAAACCTCACCTTGGAGGCAGGAAGCAGCAGATTCTCTAGAATGGTGACCTGCCAGGAGCAGGAAAACCATCTTTCTTTAAAAGTGGAGCAGGGCTTCCAGGGAACGTCCTGTGTTCCCACGGAATTCAGGATTGTTGCACTTCACATTCCTGCACAGACAGGACCCAGCTATAATTGGAAAATGCAAAAGGGCAGAACTAAGGTTAACTCTGAAAATTTCCTGCTTCTCATGCAATTAAATTCTCCCCCTTGTTAAGTTAATGGAATTTTTCCCACATAATTGAGTATAAATTACCAGGCAAATATGGGGTAAGTGGGTGTGGGCTATAGAAGTTGATGACATCATTAGTAAAAAGTTATCATTGCAGTATTTGGATTTTTAAGAATCAAAAATCCTGCCAACGGCTGGGGTTGTAGCTCAGTGGTAGAACGCTTGCCTTGCACGTGTGAGGCCCTGGGTCTCATTAATTTCTAATTGGATGCTTTACAAAATAATTTTTTAAATGATAAAAATAATCACTTTTAGGACTTTGAGCAAAACAGATTTTTGCATACCAAATCCTGCTCTTGTTTCCCTTGGCATTCTTCTCCAAATATCCCTGGTAGGTGCCTTTGTAAGGCATTAATTAATTTGGAATTCTCCTATCCCCCTTCATTTTTATGACATGATCCGTACTTTAAATATTTTGTGTTATTTTCTCCAAGTGAAGGAGCAATAGAAAAGTAAAGTCTTAGAAGAGAACAGAGCTTGCAAGGAATAAATCTTTTTTTAGTACCTTACTAAGGACACCTTGCTTCTGATAGAAGTGGACTGTGACCACCTAGGAACGTGTACAGGTGGGACAGCTGGCTGTCCAGTGTAGCCGTGACTGCACTTCAGTGTGGGATCAGGAAAAGAACTCCTCACCCTGCAAACTGCAGGTTTCTCCTGCCCTGCGAGTCCTTCTGTTTCCTGGTGGGGAGAGCAGCAGCACAGTCAGAGCATTGGGTGGACTTTGGTCAGGAGGCACTCTCATTTGCCACATGCATAGTGGGTCACCTGGACTGACTCTTTCAAGGACCCATTTAAAAAGATTATTTTCTATTTGTTAAAAACTCCTAGTGTAGCTCTTCTTTGTTGTTCAGTATTATCAGGTTTCCAGAAAGTTAACTATTGTTCTTTGTTTCATGTTTATAGTTCTCTAAAATGTATCAGATGATGAAAGTGGACACTAGGGTTGCCCACACAGCAAATAAAAGTACAGAATAGAAAAATATAGCCAAATTTGAATTTCAGTAAATATATAAAAATATATTTTTTTGCATATTTATGCCCCCAGTTTAACTGGGCATTCTGTATCTTATCTAACACCACCAATCAAGATTAAATCAAATTCTAAGAGAGATGGGCTGAGAAGTTGGGTTACAGTACACAAGGTACAAATTAAATATAAACAATCGTTCATATTTGAATTGTGTAGGCCTTATGTTTTAAAAGAGTCCTTAACTTTGGGAGATATTTAGTAGAACATATGTTGATAAAATTATGTAATATTTGGGATTTGCTTATAAATGCAGGAGGCAGGGAATTCGGGGGGCAGGACTGGCTGTGGGTTGGTGAATGTGAAGGCTACTTATCCTATTCTGCATACTTTTTTATTGTGTTTGAAATTTTCACATAAAAAAAAAATGAGACAGAGATAGTCATGAGTCTTGCCTTAGGTTAAGGAATTCTATCATGTAAGCATCTCAGATGTCCAGCAACTGAGGTTTGTGCAGTGATAGGAGAAGAGGCTGTGGATGGAAACAAGAGCTTCTCCAGCGTGTTCAGAGTTATGGACATCTTTGTTCCTTGATCGACATGTTTATCAACTTGATTTTTGTTATCTTTCCTTGGAACAATGCAGGCGAGTTGCAAGTGAGTTTCCAGCCTCTGCAAGCGTAGGTTGTTCACGGGTTATCCAGGAAAGCTCCTGAGGAGAGGACATGGGTGAGTAGGGAGGGAGGACACTCGATACCCTGGCAGCTTTTGAAAGCATTAAACACCAAATAAACTGTCGGGGGTAGGTCAGAATAACAAGCATTATGTTTTTCAACTCGTTTATGGTTTTTAAAAAACTCATCTCTCTAAGTGACTGGACTGAAGTGCTGGGAAGTCAGTAAATTGAGTATACGGTCTGATAAGTTGCCTAGTCTTGCTGGGCTAGCAGGTGAGCTGTCAGCAGCTGGGAAGGCTCAGTCTCTGGCATGGTTCTGGCAGTTACTTACTGATGGACATCTTTAATGGTTTGCTTTTTTCTTATTCCAGGATTTCCTTCAAATGCTGCTGGAGAGCATCCCAGAAGAAAAAAGGTAAGGTCCAACTTAGGAATTAAGAGCCCAGTTTTACTTTTACTGTTAAGAATGACCCTACCATTGTTTGGCTTGTTACTTCCTAGAAGTTTGATTTTTCTCTCTTACCAAGGCCCTGGCTCAGCCAGTGGAGTCACTGGATAGACAATCATACTTTGGGATAGGCCCAAGTGGACAGTGGAGGCCAGTGTGTACACCTGAGATTCCCAGAGTCGGGGTCCCAACAGTGTTTTAGGAGGCAAACAAAGACAATCTGTGGTCTCAACTGCTGTAGAAAAGAACAGTGGAGAAGAAAGTTTTGAAAATGGGGGTGCCTCCAGTAACGTGGCCTACTAAAGGGGACACTTGAGTTGGAGGTGAGTGGTGAAGTCAGGCCCTGGTAGGTTCTAAACCAGGTCTGCTGCTTCCTCCTGTGAAGCTTAGAGTGGGTCACTTCATTCCCTCCACATTTGTTCTCCACCTTCACTGCTGAGGTTAGGATTAGACCGCTGAGGCTTGTCAGTGACCAATGTAGTCACCATATCCTCGCTTTAAGAGCATCCAGAGGCGGTGTGTACAGAGACCATTCGACCCTTGGCACTCTTCACTGACATCACCATCCAGGGATTGTGAGGAGCCAGCATTTATTGGGAGTTTATTTCATGAAGATAGCCATTTAATCCTCAAAACAACACTCTTTGGTAATTGTATATTTATCCCAATTTTACCAAGAAGAGGACAGGGTACCAAGCCTGAATTTCATGGCAGTATGTGGCAGGGCTGGGATCTGAGCCCAAGCGTCTGGCTCTAGAGTCTGTCCTCATACCCACTATATTGCCAGTGGGGAAACGGGCTCCGGAATGGAGTGGCTTTTCCACACTCCCTTAGCAGGCGAGATAGCACAGCCTGGAGCTGGGTCTGTGTCATTCTCACTCCCTCTCCTCTGTGTGCTGCTCAGTACGAGCCCACTGTCCTGAAGGGAGGAGATTCTCATCCTTGCAAGTGTTCAGTTGTAGGCTGCCAACCTCCCACGGGGAGGAGGTTGTAGAGGAGGTTTCAGACCCATGTTTTAGGTAGACTATATTCATTCCAATTTTTACTTCTTATATTTTTTATCTTAACTTGGTCCCTGCAAGTAAATACCCTGAAACTGTTTCCAGTAGCAAGATTGATATTCAGACGTCTTGAGAAATTAAGTATCTCTTTAAAAAAGAGCTGACATTACTCTCCTCCTTTCTGACCTGCAGATTTAACTGTGTTTTTATGCACATAACAGATTTCCAATTGTGGAAATGAATTCTTTAACACAGATGAGTCAGATTCATGCAGGACCAGTCACCTACATGTTGATGAGCTGCTTTTACATGCTTTCTAAATTGGGTGTCTCAGGGTAAGGTGTCTGGGCTTATGCTGTCAGACTGGGTGCAGGCAATGACATGAAAATTCAGGAGAGGACCCAGGCCCATGCGGATGTGGAGATTTTTTTCCAAATATTGGATTTTTGCCTGGCCTATTTTTGTTTAAACTCCCCCTTATTCCAACTTCTGTTAAGGAAGACTCCAGACTCATTCCTCAGCAGGTGAAAGGGTTATTATGAGTCCTTTTCTTTTTTTAATACAGTAGAAACACACATAAAGGAAGCCAGTGCACCACAGAGTTAACGTGTCCGTCCTATTTGGTGACCGACCTCCTTGTCTCTGCAGCTCCATTGCAGCTGGTGGAGCTTGCAGGAGGCCTTAGTCATTGGCCAAGACACTCACCGGCTCAGGATGCTGCTGGAGATCCATGCCTTATTTTGGAAGGTCTTAAATGTTTCAGATTTGCCATCCTTTTTTTTTAAGTAGACATATGGGCTTTTCTTCATGCAAAAATCACATCAGATGTGGCCAGTATTCTTAAGATCAAGAATAACCTGCAAAATGTATATCCTCCTCTCCCCCATTTTTTTTTTGTACCTACCCCAAAATAACTTTTTCAGGCCCTATAATAGAATGGAGCACTTTTCTTTAAAAAGGAAAAGAAAAGAAAATTCACAGGCATGGTGTCTTACCTCCTTGGGCTGTTACCAGACTCTGTTCTGTGTGATAACCACACATTCTTTCAGAACTTCTTAGAGCATAAATTTCACTGAAGCAGCAAAGTGCATTTTTAGTTTGGGAGGTCTCTCTTTTAATCTTCTTCATAATAAGGTTATGGAGTTCATTTGGATGGCCCCTGAGCCCTCTGGCTCTGGGACCTGGATTTTATCTTGTGAATATTTATTGAGTCAACACATGGGGCCCACAAAGAGATTTTGGTTGTAATTGTGGAAGTTAAGAGCAGCGTCCCTGTCTCAATGTGGCCGCCGACCACATGGCCTTTGCTGGGCTACCTCTCCCACTTTTGTGTTTTCCCTAGCATGTTTAGGCCTCTTTCTAAAAACTCTCCTTAAAAGTTAAGGTGATTTCATTTTTACCATGAATCTACTTTAGCCAGTGTACTGGAATATGTTTTTAAGACTTAAACATCATTTTGCTTGCTAACTAATCTCAGAATCTAGTTCAGCTATTAAAACTGACTGTTTATCCTATTACCTATGCAACATATTGTACCAATTTTATCTAGGTCTCCAAAGGCCCCACACCTACCCCCTGGAGCCTCTAATCTTTGGCTCCGGTTGCAAACTGATCCTTGTGCACATCTGTTAGGCACGTGAGCTGCTCTGAACAGAACAAGGCTTTTCAGCTCGGACTAGTCAGCTAGTGTCTCTGTGTCACAGCCCTGTGTTGTTCTCTTGCTTCCATTTATTTAACATTCTCTATTGAGTGTCTCTCATCCCAGGTTTTAGGCGGGATGCTGGGAAACGGAGAAGAACAAATCCCAGGCCCAGCCCCCAGGAAGCTCGTAGCCAATTACAGGGGCAAAACAGGCCATTAGGAGCAGTGCAGGCTGTGAGGTTCTGGGTCCTGAGGGCGCAGAGAAAGGTCTCCCCTGTCCTAGCCTCAAGCTGCAGGCAGAGGCCCCCTGAGGCTGTCAGTGGAGGAGTGCCATCCGCAGGTTGGAAGACACCCTGGGAAGGCAGTGTGGAGGGTAGATTAGACACCAGGAGATCTTGAGATGGAGAAGTAACGGCCGAGGTGGTGACGGTGGCAGTGGTGTTGAACATAATAAACAGACGTGAGGAATATTTGAGGGGTGCCATCCATGCAACCTGGTTGGTTAGTTGTGAGGATTGAATAGAGGAGTCAAGCATGAGCCCGACCTTTCTTGATCACTAAGTTCCACCACGAAGTGACTTTGTACAGATAGTGGGGCAGCTGTTAGGATTCTACACCCTGGAATCAGCATGGAGCAGAGGGTGTGGAAGGGCAGAGAATTTGAAGGTGGCAGTGAGGGGATAAGGTGAGAAAAACCAGGAGTGCTCAGAGGGAGATCCAAATGCTAGGTGCCATTCTCCCTGGCAGGGGAGCACCCTGGGGAGTTGTTGCCCAATGTTCCTGGCCACCTGGTGTTCCTGTGTCGTCAGCGGCTGCCAGTGCTCTCTTTGCCCATCAGTCATTGTGTGTATGTGTGTGTGGGGGTGTTGATCTAGTACACCCACCCCCACCCAGAGCTAGGGAGCACTCTTGCTGTAAATGTCTCATCGGAAGTCATGGCGTGCCCAAGCGCAACCGCCTTGTTTTCATCAAGAAAATAAGCAACCGTGTGCAAAAGCTCTGAGACGCACACTATTTGCAACCATTGTGTATAGAGGGGACTTAAAATGTAGATGACTGAAACCTTAAAATCCATGTAGGGTGTGGGTTGCGTCTTAGCACTAGGTCCTGTCCCATTTCAGGCCCGAGCTCCAAAGCCCTGCACTTTCAGAGTCGCTTCCGTGGGTCTTGGAGTGCTTGCGAAAGTGGCCAGGGCTCTGTGCTTCCCTGAAGAGATGCTGGCAGAATGGGATGTTTATTTTTATTTTTTACTTTTTTGGTACTGGGGATTAAACCCAGGGGTGCTTTACCACTGAGTCACATCCCCAGCCTTTTTACTCTTTATTTTGAGACAGGGTCTCACTGCGTTGCTTGGGGCTTCGCTAAATTTTGAGCTTGCAATCCTTCTGAGTCAGCCTCCCCAACTGCTGACGTCATTAGTAAAAAGTTATCATTGCAGTATTTGGATTTTTAAGAATCAAAAGTCCTGCCAAGGGCTGGGCTTGTAGCTCAGTGGTAGAGCACTTGCCTTATTATAGGTGTGGGGCACCACACCGGGCAGAATGTGATCTTTAGGATCTCAGGAGGTTGAAGGCAGGAGCCAGGAGTGAAAAAGGCACTTCACTTGCTCAGCAGCAGGTTGACAGTCACATGTAGCAGATGTGCCTAATAATCAGCTCCCCATCCTTGTCACCCCAGCCTCAGAACTCAACTGAGCCAGCTCATACGGGCATGTGCAGTACCATTTTCAGGCAAGCTGATGTTTATTTCTGTTTACTTTAACATCATGAAGAGAACAACTGGACACTCTGTGTGCTTTAAACACAGCTTATTTTTCTAACCAGGATCCTGCCAGGATGGCTAGCATATCCTCTCCCCCGCTGTGTTAACTAAGTGTGATGCATTGGTAGCCCCAAGGGATTGGTGGTCAGACCTTGAGACTCAGAGTTGCCCCCTAGGATGTGGGAGTACAGCAGGGAGCCAGCCAGCCAGCAGGCAAAACCACCTGCAGCTCCAGATACCCTGGAGGCCCAGGAGCGGGTGTGGCCGGTCTCAGGCTGCAGTGGGAAGTGCTGATGGAGGACTGGCCGTCTGGGGTCTGCGTACTTCTAGCTATCTGTGTAAAATCAATTTCCATAGTGATCAGACATGCAGAAGAGTAATTTCCTGTAAGTCCTGGGTCCTGGCGAGGTGGAAATGCTTCTGCTCCTCTATTGTGATTATCTAAGCCACATGATCTCAGAGGGAAAGACTTTACCCTTGGCCTGGACTCCAAATGTCCAGAAGTGTAGAAGTCGATTTTTGACCTCAGCACTGCTGTCTACAAGCCGACTTAAGTACTCTCAGCAGTTCTTGCCAGTTCCCGAGGGGGTTAGGCCACTTACACAGCCTTTCCATAGGGCTGTGGTTTTAAGCAGCAGGAGTGAATGCTTACCCCACCTTAGCAGCCCCAGGCGAGCTTGGTGCTGGGGCTGCCTGCCCCAAGCCTGTGAGCTGAGGAGCCTGTCGCTGCTGACTCTCTCCAGAATCCTCCTGTGCTGCCTGTGCTTCTCCATCTGCTTGGGAAACACCACACAACAATGGACGGCACTTCTCAGGGATGTTATGAGGAGGGACGTGATGCTGGGTGTAAGATGCTTCACAGCTTCCCAAAAGAAAGTGATCTGAGCAAACATACCCTCTTCATCAGGGGCAGCACTCCTGCCCTCCCACTGCCCTTCCATGGCTCTCTCCCCTCTCCTAAACGGTAGTAGGAGGACTGGCACCAGCACAGCTACTGCAGGAGCGCGACAGGGAGAAGCTGGGGTGCTGGGAGTGGCGGCGGCTCTGCTCTCCTGCAGGATTGTCTGCCTACACAGGACCAGCTCATTCTGAGGCCTAAGTTTAGAGCAGAAGGAGTTGCCAGGGCTTCACAGGCAGCCTAGGTTTGAATCCCGGCTGGGCAGATGCTACCTGCATGCCCTTGGACATGTTCCCTAACGTCTCAGAACCTGTATTTGGTCAGCTTTGATATGGAAACGGAATTGTTGGTCTTGCAGTTATTGGAAGTTTAGATGAAGTTTGTCTGGTGCGCAGTAGATGTTCAATAAATAGTAGCTGCTACTTCTGTGCCTTTATGTGGAAGTGGAATATAATTCCTTCTAATCAGTCCCAAGTACTTTCCTTTGCCCTCCCTTCCATCATACCCCTGTTCCCTTTTTTCTACTCTATTTATTTATAATTTCTTCTATTTATTTGTAGTTTTTTTTTTTTTAATTAGTGCCTTGTGGATATGCATAAAGGTGTGATTCACTGTGGTATACTCCTGTCTCTAATAGGAAAGTTAGGTCAGATTCATTCTACCATTCTTCCCTTTTCCTGTCCCTCCTTCCTCCCCATCATCCTCCTTCCTCTACTGCAGATGTATCCACCCCACCCAAGAAACATTCCACCCTTGGCTTTCTGAGTTTGGCTTATCTCATTTAGCATGATGTTCTCCAATTCCATCCATTTACCAGCAAATGCCATAATTTCATCCGTCTTTATGGCTGAGTAAAACCTCATTGTGTATATGCACCACCTTATCTTTATCATTCGTCTGTTGATGGGCACCTAAATTGGTTCCCCAGCTTGGCTGTTGTGAACTGCACTGCTGTAAACATCGATGTGCCCTGTAGCGTGCTGATTTAAATCTTTTGGATTTAGCTGAGGAGTGGAACATGGTGGTCGTATGGTGGTCTCATCCCTAGTTTTTGAGGAGATAGAGGAGTTTTTGTTTGCTTTGTTTTTAGTGCTGCTATGTAACAATGTCTGAATGTGCACAAGCACCAGATATGGGAAAGTGGAATTCTCCTTAGCACTCATCAATGAACAGAGCCTCAGAGGTGACAGGACCAAGGCATGGACAGATTGTGGAGGGTCATCCTGCAGAGATGGATGGGGCCCAGGATGCCACACTGTCTCCCAGGCCTCCAACAGGACCATTTGGATGCCACCTTCCACTCTACCCCGACACACCACATCCAGTTCACCTCTCACTGCCTCCTGTTGAAATAGCAACAGCCTCCCCTGCGGTCTCCCTGCCTCCAGCCTCTTCTCCCTCAAGTACTCTTCCTTGTTTCCCTGCTCTCCTGTTATTCATTCTACAGCCACTTCATAGCCTCCGTGGCAGGCCCAGGGCTCAGCCGCGAGGCCTCCAAAGTCCTCACAGGACACCCTGATTCATTTCTGCCTGAGCTGGGCCGAGTGGAACTTGGCCCTCCCTGTCTGTGCATCCCTTCCCTTCCTGCCCTGGGCAGGACAGACAGCACTGCCTCCCACCAGGACATACTTCCGGCATTGTCGCCTTTCAGAATCTCTGCGGTGCTCCTCCCACCGTCCTCCTTCCCTGTCCCACAGAGGCAGGTGGACCCTTTCCACAGCAGTTGAGCCCCAGCTTTGCAAGAACTGCTGGCATGCAGACGGGTGTCTGTCACATGTCTCTCAGTCACTTGCTGGGTTTTCCATCCCAGCTCTCCACAGAACTTGGGCCCAGTGGACCTCCGTCGAGTGTCCACCACTCAGAGACATTCTCCTGCCCTCCTCCCGCTCTGGCGAGGGCTTTGGGCCTTTCTCAGTGACATTCCAGCCCTTCACTGCAGCCCCTTCTCCAGGCCGCTTAGAGAAGTGTCCATAAGTGAAAATTCCTCACAGGAGACTCCCGTCCTGTCCTCATGTCCAACCTCCACAGTGCTGCGCAGCAGCTGTTCGCTGTCTTTTGCAAAATCACTCGAACGTGGCCATCAAGTCATCTCCCAAACGTCTTTCTTCAGGACATTTGATCCCAGTTCCCTTGACCTCCCTCCTGGGCCCAGGGCACCTGCCCTTGAATCATCCTTCCTGCCCTTTCCACATCCTTTCCGAAGCCTGCTTCTTGCTCTTGGTGTTGGAAGTTCTGAGGAGACCCCTTTCCCAAGATGCCACGTGCAGCTCAGCTCAGCTCAGGAGCAGGCCCCTCACTCCGGCTTCTTCAGTGTCAAGAAGATGGGGGACAGAGGTTTTGCCCCAGAAGGTCAGACACGGTATCTCCTCTGTGGCTGGAAACAGTGTCAGTGAAGGACATTGTCCTACCTGTGTCTAAGGAAAATTGATGTCGTTTTATTTCCTAGTGAAAAGTGTGAGACTGGCAGAAAAGAGTAATTTTTATCACTTATATGGTACCAAGACTGCTAAACTGAAGACCTTTTCATGTTTAGAATGGCTGCAGGGGACCCCACCTTACCTGCCTCCACATGTGCCCCTGGGGAGGATACTTCATTTGGTGAAGGAGTCAAGTTCCCGCCCTTACCCCTGAGCAGCCCTGGGCTTTGAGCTGTTGCAGAGGCTCCGGTGGGAACTCCAGCTTGCCTGCCCACATTTGGGGTCAGAGCCCCATTTTCTCTCTGACCTTTTCAGTGTTGCTGCTCCCTAAGTGTCCAGCCAGCCACATTCTCCTTTCCTGGCCAATCAGTCATTGCTCGTGGCACTGGGTTTCCTGGGAGGCATGTCCAGGGATGACCTAGAGAGGTGGTGTCATCCCTCTGCCCTCTTGTATCCTATCCTCTCTCTTCTGCCTGCTAGTCCCACAGAGGGACCTCAACATCCATGTGCATCCTGACCCCTTTCTCTACATGGTCTTCTTTCCCTCCCTGCATTTTTTCTGTTTTGAAATAGCAGTGGTTGCCTTCTTGAGCATCCTTAACTTGTTACTGGGACAGAGAAGACAGGGGGCACCAGTGATCAGTGGGAGAAAGAAAAGGAAGACAGAATTAGTTATCCCTTCTTTTTCCAGCCCCTTCCTGCTTTCCTTCCTCCACACTGCCCATGAGGCAGGGGGGCAGGGCTTGGCCCTCCAGCACCTTAACATTGCAGAAAACACCATCTTTCCACAACTGCTTCCACAATTCTAAAAGCAAGGGAGGAAATGTACAGGTGCACATGCACGTGTATGTCTGCAAAATTTTAAAAGATACAGAGCTTAACAACTTGGAACATCTTGCTGGGAAAGGTGAATATTCTCTTTAAAAGAAATCATATTTATTGAGTTAACAGTGAAAATGTGTCTTTATTCATTCAAGGAAAAAAAAATCTATGTAGGAATTCTTTTGTACACTAGGGACTGTTTTAAGTGCTGGATTAGCTCCCGAGAGATTCGTTGTTGGGAGGAAACAGTGAAAGTCAAGTGATTGAGTGACTGTCAGTTGCCAACTGGGCTGAATGCTGTGACATGGAGGATAGGGAGCTCAGTGGGTGCTGTGTGCACAGGGGAAGCCTTGTTTCAGTCTCTGAGAAGTCCAGGAAGGGCCTCTCTGAAAGCAGAGAGTCTGGGCATGAGTAGGAATTATCTGGAAGAGGGAAGAAGGGAATGGGTTTGCTTTAAACTTCATTAGCCAGGGAAGATGGGAAGATATAACTTCGGAGCTGCCCTTCCTAAATATATACTTAGTAATTTTAAGGAGTAGACAAGTCAGCAGGGCATGAAAGCAAAAAAAATAAAAAATAAAAAATAAATAAATTTCATTTGATGTAACAGGCAATCTTTAAATTGAGCCAATTTGATGTTGGCCTACTTGAAAATTAGATAGTGGAAGCTATACTAATTCCATATACCTAAGCCTCTCTGTGGTCTGATAATGGTGTGCATTATTTTTGCTTGTTGCAGTAAAAATCGTTATTATAAAGTTTGTTACAATGAAGTTTATATTTGAAGCACTAAGTGCTTTTACTCTTCAGTTTTCACTTTCCTCCACTGCTCTCTAGGAAGCACTCCTGACTAATGTGTCCTAGGAGTATGCCTTACCCTCCCAAATTGACTTTCCCAACCAAAAGTTTTCTTTTTCTTTTCTTCTCTCTCTCTCACTCTCTCTCTTTTTTTTTTTTTTTGGTGAGGGGGACTCATCTTAACCACTGAGCCACATCTCCAGTGCTTTTTATGTTTTATTTTGAGACAGGGTCTCATTAAATTGCTTAGGGCCTTACTAAGTTGCTCAGGCAGGCCTCAAACTTGCAATCATCATGTCTCAGCCTCTGGGTTTCTGGGATTATAGGCATGTGCCACCAGCCTGGCCCCAGAAGTTTTCTTTGAAAGCATGAAAACCCACTACCATGGTGTGCTTGTGGTTCTTTCATTTCCACATGCAGTTAATGTGCTTGATGGGAGAGAACTGATTTGATCAGGTTTCCTCCCACATTTAAACCCAGGGTAGCATTGCTCATTTTCCAAAGAAACTCTCCTTCTGGAAGAACAATGCTGGGACGTGCCTGAGTATTGAGAGGGAAGCAGTCTGTGTAGTAAGCGCTGTCACTTTTTAATCCCTTACTTTTTGTTGTTTTCTCAAAGGCAGGATCTATCTGTTGAAAACATCTTCCGAGACTGGCTTGAGAGTTCTGGAATGCCAAAGGTATGCTCAAGATAACTGCTTCAGGAGTCTGTGGAGAGCAGACTGCTCAGCCCACCAATCATGACTATGGTTTTTAGTACATGTACATAAACGTAATGATCTTGCTGAGGTGGAGTGTCCCTAAGTCAGGAAAACACTGCACTTCAGTGTGCCATTTGAGGGCACTCCTATGGCTACTGTTTCAATTTATTGTGATGCTATGGGTGGATGTTAGTCTGTTTTTGTGACACGTAACCAAAATACTTGTAAAGAACAACTTAAAGGAGGAAAGGTTTATTTGGGGGCTCAGGGTTCTGGGTTCACAGGTGGCTGAGTACATTGTTCTGGGCCCATGCGAGGCAGCACATCTCGGCAGAAGGGTGGGGTAGAGGAGTGCTGCTCCATTCGTAGCTGACCAGGAGACAAACAGAGAGGGAAGTGGCCACAGGGGAGATGCATCCTTCCAGGGCACGTCCCCAGTGACTCACCTCCTCCAGACACACCCCACCTCCAGTTACCACCAAGGCCCTTCAAACTAGGACGGACTGATTAGGTTCCAGCTCTCACAGTCAATCACTTAACCTCCAAACAGTCCTGCATTAACAATGGAGCTTTTGGGGATACCTCATGTCCAAACCAGAACAGTAGACATGATGCTATCCTCTGCATTGTGTGTTAAATGGGTTCTTACAGAGCATGGGGCATATTTTGGGTAGTGTCACCAGGCAACAGTTTCATGCCCCCAGGGTTGGGCAGCTGACCTCTAGCTCTACTCTTTGGATGTAGCCAAATAGGCAGACAGCTTTCATTTCCCTTATTTCTCTAGTACACCTGCCTCTCAGCCTCCCTCCCCGGTATGCAACAGCCTCCTGCTTCAGGCTGGCCTCACCTGTATTATCTGCTTAGAGTTGTTTCTCTGTTTTGGGGCCTGGGGCTCACTCTTAGTCAAGATTTTCTCCTTCCCTTTCAGTCCATGGGCGGTTCTGAGGGAGACGCCTTTTCCTGACCAGCCCTAGTCCCATCTGAGTCACCTGACCTGAAACCTCCTCTTCCCCAACCCTCATCCGGGTCCTGAGCTTCCTAGAGCCTGTTGGGCAGCCCAGGCCCCTCACCAACCCAAATCCTGACTCAAGCAAGAGACTGGGCCCTGGGGAATCTGAGGGTGTCATCCCAGACAAGGTAGTCAAAGGACGCTTTGGCCTGGAGCTTTCCCTGTCTGGGTGAGGGCGGCTGCACACCACTGTGGTGGGCTTTAGTGGCTGAGGGTGGACTCCCATGGCAGTGAGAAGCTCTGCCCCAGCTCAAGCAGCCCCTGTGACCTACTTGTTTCTGGTTTCATGGCTGGTTATATGAGCTTCCCCTTGGGAGTGTCTGAGTGTCAATCAATGTCTGTGATCCATGAAATGAAGGAGCTGGGGGCAGGGTGTCTCCATTACCTTTTCATCCCTCAACTCACTTCTCTATTCTTTCCTATCACTTGGGAAAATTGTCTGCCACCAGCCATCATTAACTTGTTCCTAAAAAAGGACTTTCTGCCTTTAGTTCAGGAGTGCATGTCACTTGTTAAAAGTTATTTATTTGGCCCAATCCTCTGGGAACAAAAGAGAATTAACAATAGAACAAAATGGAGTGGAGCAAGGCAGCTCCGGGGCCCTTCAGTTTCTAAGAAGGTGACTTATAGACCAGGTCACCCCCATGCAGAATATCCTGGGAGAGCGGGTTCAGGTTCCTCTGGTCAGAACTGCTGCCTGGCCCTTCATGCTTTAGATGGGCTCGGGGACAGTCTGAAGCCCTTTGCCTACGGTTGTCTTCCTAAGCCAGAGTGTTGTAAGGGTGTCCAGACTTCCCGGCCTGGGACAAGGCAGCTACTTGCAGCAGTTAGCCCAGAGGGAACGAAAAAGAAAACGTTCTTAATTTCACACCCAGAGCTGGCACGTCCCACTTGGGTTGTGGGTCTGTACCTTCCCCTGGAGAGGAGGGGTTTGCCAGGACCAGGAGGCTGTTGTTTTTCATTAAAGGGGGAAGGGCGGTGGCAGGGAGAGAGTTGCCTGTGAGCCTCGTGCTCTTTCCAAGATCTGGTTGCGTGAGCGCCAGCTTGCCGTGTGAGCCCTAAGAATCCCTGCTATGAACTGATGCCCTGCTGTCGAAACAGACAGGTGCGAAGAGGCCAGCTGGCTGTAAATTGTCTTTAAGACATAACTGCTATTTCCTTGGGTCCTGAACTCCTTAGTAAAAACACAGCAGCAGACAGAAGGACCCTGATTTGGTGCACAGTGTCCTGTCGCTGGGTGACCAGGTGGCGCACCTTTTCATCTCCTCTTCCCTTTCTGTGGCTGCTGGTCATTGGTCTGCTCTCAGCCCTTCCAGACTCCTGGAAAGTTTCTTTTTGTTTCCACTTGAGCAAAAGGTGTGGCGAGGACCTGAGACCTCAGGCTGCAGAAGCTTTCAGGTGCACGGGAGGCCTTGTCCTTCGTCCCCATGGTGATGATATAAAGTTCCTAGCATGCCTGCCCTGGAATGGCGACTGGGTAGTGAGACTCCTCCGTGCTCTTTGTTCTCCAACATTTCTGGCCCCCAGCAGCTGAAGTCATTCATGACAGAAGTCACGTTTTCCTGCTCAGGTTTTCACCCCGCGGTTACAGAGGCTTTTTGTCTTAGGAAGGCTGGCTTTGTGGTTGGCCTTGATTTTCCTTTTTTTGCCACATTGATTGGAAGTCATTAAAAAAAATAATAAAATAGCCACAGCAATAACAGAGGTGAGCATGAGCGTCACACAAGTAAAAGAAATTAGATCAACATCTCTAAAGAGCATCTCACCCTATGACTTTTGATCTTCCAGAGAGACTTAAATCGTGCCCTCAGTGGGGTAAATTACTCACTTTGTGACATTTTTCTGACTGTAGAAATATTAAACATTTATGTTAGAATATTTTAAAAATTTATAAATAAAAAATAAAAATGACCCAGAGATCTCATGAAAATGGGAGGAGACCAAGAGATTAGAGGAAGGGATCGAGAGCGGGGAGTTGTGGGGAAAGAAGGTAACAGAATCAGCTGTCTATGTGTACGGCTGCACCACAATGAGGCCCGCTTGTATGGCATTGTATGTACTAATTTAAAATAGTAAAAGGGGATAGGGAGGGGTGGGCTGGGGAATAGAGGTATGGGGAATGAGATGATCAAATTATGTTATGTACATGTATGAGTATGTAACTGTTGTGTGTATCAGTAAGAACCACAAGGCTGAGGATGTCGCTCAGTGGCAAGCACAAGGCCCTGGCACAATTCCCAGCACTAAAAACAAAAAAACTATATATGTATGTATGTATATGTGTATGTGTGTGTGTGTGTGTGT